ATCTATACAGTCTGGGTTGTCCAAGCCCAGTAATTAAATTTCCATAAGTTGTTAACAAAAGTTATAGTACATAAGAGTCACACTTACTAAAAAGGGTCCATAAATGAAGGCAGCTACAAATGCTACCAAACTRTAAGTTCCATATATAAAACCTACTTCTGTGCTACTCACACCTCGCTTTTCTGCCTGGAAAAAAAAGAAAATAACTGTACTGTATATATGTATGATACATTTTCAAATCAATCACAAAACAAACTGTTGCAAATCATCAATGGTGATACCAGATCTTAAATGATTAAGATGCAAATCAAGAAAATATAATAAGTATGAAACAGCTAATTTAAGAATAGCAGAAGAAATATAATTCAATTTATGATATACTTGCGGGTATACTTGTAAATGCTTATTTTCATGATGACCAAATGTGACTTGAAAACATACACAAAAAATTGTATGGTTTATGAAATTACAATTTGCAGTGAGTTTTTTATAAGATAACAGTCTTTTTTTTTCAAAAATTAATATTTTATAAAGTCTGGACTTTCCCAAACCTTGTTCCTTCGGCAAAAAATGAAATAAGTGGATCAAATGGCTATTTTAATTATTGTTTTGATTATATATTGCTTGAAATTGTTTTCATAATTAATAATAATAATAATAATAATAATCGAATTTCTGTTTCACAGAACTAAATTTTATATAGATAATTAGGATATATTAGTCGTATTTAGGATAAGTAACAATTGATATTGAGTGTTCAACGTGTTATCTAGTATTAGGGATTTACACGAGCAATTGGTTACGCTGTTAAGCGCCCAGTGTTTGTATTAGGAACCGCAATCACATGTTTTAATAAACTGCACACAATAATAATATTTATGGCATCGCGAGATTCTTTGCAGGCTCAAGACAGTGTGCACAATGATAATAATGTTAATATTGCATCTTATACCCATACTCTTAACACGTAATTACTACATTTACCTCAGCAGGAAAGAACGAAGCCCAAAGACTTACACAGCTCCAGGTCAAGAAATATACAAATGATAGTAAAGCTAGTATGATGACCTTTCGGGCCGTCCATTGCGATGCTATTGTTGCTTGTKCTTTGGTTTCTTTTTCATACAGAAGACGGCTTCTTTCCGACATATTGTAACTCTCGTAGCTTSCTTCATCAGACGACTCGACTRTCATTTCAGAGTAGGATATAAAAGTTTGGATATTAAGTGTTCCTCCTTCCTTGCATTAAATTCCAAGTACTGTCACGTGCTATTTATCTACACATAAATTTTGTTATGCTGTTTTTTACTTATTTGGGTGCCCTGTGGCCGCCAGGGTCATATAGTACATATAGCAGGGCTTATTCTCGCACGCGTTTCAAACCATTTAAAAGTTGTTAAAATGTTTTCGTACGTAGGATTCATTATAAATACTCAGTTTTGTTCCTTCTACGTGTGTTTTAATATTCCGAGCTTTCGGACAACTTGTGTTTTGTTTACATTTGTATCCTCGCGCACGCATTGTAATTTCATTTTGCCCTGATGATGGACAAGTTGTCCGAAAGCTCGGAATATTAAAACACACGTAGAAGGAACAAAACTGAGTATTTATCATTTAAAAGTTGTTTCGAAGATCAAATAGATCAAAGCTATCCGTGAGCGCATCAATTATTTTTAAAGATTTTGGTCGCAAATGCTGAGTTGGTCAAAGGGGGCCCAGGCTCAACGGATGTGTTGCTTTCGCGGCGCGTAGGCACTAAAACATGGAACGACCTACAACCACCTAAAACCACCTAAAACAACCTAAATCACCTACAACCACCTACAACTACCTACAACCACCTACAACCACCTACAACCACCTACAACCACCTAAAACAACCTAAAACAACCTAAAACGACCTACAACCACCTACAACCACCTACAACCACCTACAACCACCTACAAAAACCTCAAAAAAAATCTAAAACCACCTAAAACAAGTCACATATGTCTAAAATAAGTCACGTACTGTATGAAATACGAGAAACGAACAAAACCCGTCACCTCCCCCATAAGCTCTTACTCAGCCCCTGAACCCCAAGTTACATAATCACCTAGAGATTAAGGTATCTGGGGACAGTTGTTTTTAGTACCGACCATTACGAAAGAAACGCATCGAAATGCAGTTTATTTTGCTTTGATCCGGTCAATATTTTGTCAAATGAAGGATAAAAGATCAAAATATGTTATATATAGATTTCATGAAAATCGAGTATAATT